TTGGCCACAACTGGCTTGAAATCCCTGTGCAGATTGTTGACTTTGTCAAAGAAGCGGGAGAGACTCTGGGGAGGTGAGATGAGGGGTCATGGTGGATGGGAATCTCAGGGCCAAGGGGTGGACGCTCAGCCATGCCAGGATTCCCACCTCCCTGTCCTGGCTGGGGTGGCTCACCTTGCTGTTGACTTCAGGGGGCAGAGGCCTGGTGAAGAAGGCCTACAAGAGGTCCATAAGAGAAGGAAATGTGGGTAGCTCTTAGGAAGGGAGTGTGGTCCCCTGCTGAAAGCTGCTAAGGGAAGGGAACTGCATACTTCCTGAAACCAGGGAGCTGGAGGAGGGCTGTGAGTCCCAGGTGAGACTGCAGCCCTGGCCAATGTGATCACTTCAGCCTTGTAAGACCATGTGAAAGGAACCTATCCCCCCTGTGCTGGGTTGCTGACCCACAGAAATGTGAGATAACAAATTTGTTTTTACTTAAGCAGCAACATTTGCATAAAACTGTTTTGCAGCAGTCGATGATGAAGGCAGCCTCTCACCTGCACGTTGTAGCTGGCCATGAGGACTGCATGGCTGCTGAGGCGGGTACAGTGGCAGGTGGTGCTGCCATCTTTGGTGCCCAATGTTTTGCAGCCTGCAGTGGTCCAGTGACCACATCCATTCTGGCCATGGTCCCAAAAGACACAGAGCACTTCACGCTTTGTCTCAGAGGTCACCAGCTGTAGGAACAGAACGGAGGTGTGAGCTGGTCTTTTTGTGCTTGTAGATACTGACCCCTTAGGGCTGGCTTGGGAAGGGTTGAATTTCCTAGATGGGGGGCACCTGTAGGGAGTCCCACCGAACCTCAAGGTTAAGACAGACAACAAAGGTGTGCCTGGGCCTGGGGTTCTTCCCACACCCCCACACTCACATTGTGGGAGAAGGTGAAGGTAACTGGCGAGCTGAGGTTCCGGGTGTCCTTTCTGCTCAAAAAGACTGAGATGACATCCGAGAGCAGGACAGGTGAGGCTGTCAGCAGTGAGTCCTTGTGTGTATCATGGGGAGCCACCTGCTTCTCAGGCTCCAGGACCAGGGGAGCCTCCACCAGCAGCTTGCCCATCCCTGGGGTGGAGACCAAGCCCACCATCGAAGGGCCTGCAGGACGAGGCCACGGGTGAGTCTCAGGGTCTCCTCCAGGGCCTCCTCCTTAGATAGCCTCTCCTCCTTTTGAATTGTTGCATTATAATGATACATAATAGTGGGACTTGCTGCTCCACATTCACAGGTGCACACAACAGAATGTGGCCCCATCACTCCCCAGAACCTCCCCTTTGGACGCTCTTCTAGTGACCTCTTCCCACCCACATCACCCTTTAATCTTGAATTCTGTATTTTGGGCATCTTTTTCCAACCTGAGGCCTCTTCCAAACAGGATGGTACTGTTGTAAGGTGGACATCCCCACCTTCTCCCCATCTCAGATGTTACCTCTGTGAGCAGATTCCTGTGCCAGATTCCAGTTCAGCTGCATCTTTGCCTGATTCAGACTCAAGGTGACATTACCAT